GAATCGTTCCATCCATGGAATCAGTTCCTTTAAGAAACTGGTTCAGACCGTGGAATCGTTCCATCCATGGAATCAGTTCCTTTAAGAAACTGGTTCAGACCGTGGAATCGTTCCATCCATGGAATCAGTTTCAATAAGAAACTGGTTCAGAATGTGGAATCATTCCAACTGTGGAACCAGCTCCATTTGGGAACTGGTTCAGACCGTAGAGTCGTTCCAGCCATGGAATCATTTCCATTCTGGATCTGGTTCAGAATGCGGAGTCATTCTAACTGGGGAATTGGTTCTATTAAGGAACTGCTTCTGAATGTGTAGTCGTTCCATCCATGGAATCAGTTCCATTAAGAAACTGGTTCAGACCGAGGAATCGTTCCAGCCATTGAATCAGTTCCACAGTTTGATTTGGCTCCACCCCTGGAGCCAATTGAAACTGTGGAACTGATTCCAACATTCCAAAAGATGCGTGTGATTGTTTACCTGTTCTTCAGATGCTGGATGCTGCCCAGACATTTAAACCTCCCATTTACCATAATTCCCAGTCGGGTGCACAAAGCCTCACATTCCTCCATGCTGTGGAAAACAACATACATAAGATGTTAGATCCTTCTGTTAAAATGTTCCTCTGCAGTTATAGATGTCTGTGTCATCACCTGTGTGACGTGAGAACAACAGAGCGCCCGGTTTTGATGATATCAAGGATTAAATTCCAGAGGAACCTGCGGGCCTTAGGGTCCATGCCAGTGGTGGGCTCATCCTGGATAATAGAACAAAGGAGAAACAGAAGAACAATGAATCCTGGGTTCTTTTAACCCAGGAGGGTTAAAAGAACAATCAAGCAAATTTTGCTTGATTGTGAATTATTTTGATATGAGGCGAAGCAGCAGATTGTATCCCACATATTCTGTGTTTGCAGTTTAGCTTGTATCTAACCAACTAACGGCTTTAATGTTGCCCAGAGACCCCATGGTAATGTTTATCCTTGGAAATAACTCATTTTAAAATTAGTTTCAGCAGCTTTCTTGCAGACTATGTTTCCCTTTCCTTCCATAAGGATTCCAAACATAAGTGATCTGTATAATCCCAGAGCAGAAATATCTACTAACCAGATGCACATAGAACGTGAGTCTCTGAAATAAGAACAAAAGGTGCAAACATTTAGACCATGTCCACATAGGGTTCTGTATGGTATCATGAGGTCCATGTGGTGAATTCAGGTTTCCTTTGTTTTCCTAATGTCACATCAACCAAAACTAAAAACACCAACGGGCAAAATGGCATTTTGGAAGCTTGGTTGAGGGCCACACAATACCTTCAACAGGTACTGGAAAGAGAAGAGAATCTGCCATTTAACTTTGACCTTTTATGTGAAATTAATCATGAAAAAAAATCTACTTGGTAAATCTGAAAAGGTCTGAGACTAAATAAGATGTATTGATTAAATAAACATTTTAAATTCTATGGGGCACTTTTTGTAAAGTTAAGCAGTCAAAAATTAGGAGCAATATTTATGGTTATTTAGCATGTTTTAAGATAAAAAAAATAATATTTTTCACTATGTCATCCATTCATTTATAAAAAATCTTACTTTTTTTTTAATAAATATTTAGTTTGGAGTTAAATATTTAGTTTATTAAATAACTACTTAGCTCCAAACTAAATATTTAGTTTGCAAACTAAATTAAAGTAAGATTTTTATAAATCAATGAATGACATACTGAAAGAAGTTGAAATAATTGACCCTTATTTTTCTCTTAAAACACGCTAAATAAGCATAAATATTGCTCCTAATTTTTGACTGCTTAATTTTACAAAAGGCGCCCCATAAAATACAGCACAGCTTCCTGGTGGAGGAGATGTTGGTGCTTGTCTGGCAACAGAAAGCTCCGAAGTTTGAATCACTTCGCTCAGTAAATGTGTGAGGTCTCTCCTAGTATTCTATTTAACAAATACTATGAGCTTAAACAATAAGAATGAGAGGGAGGGAGGAAATGCTCAACTTCCCCCCAATAATCCCTGCAAACAGCCACTATTTAGAGCTGGAGCTCATCAAAAGCAACATTCATAGTTTAAAAAAGTGGAGAAGAATAGAAAGCAACAGCTCTAAAGCTCCTTTGCCTTCAGCTGGATCAGCTGCTTCAAACTCTGCACCAGACTGTGAGCATTTTAAAGTGAGTTTTTGTAGGACAACTCTTTTCATACATATCCTGTACAACAAGCAGTAGGTTTAGGACATGGGGACCATGATCTTGCAGTGGACATAAAGTTCTGAATTAGGAGAACTGTGGCGTCTCGATCAATAACAAGGTAAAGCCTTAACAGTTTCCCTGTTTCTCATTGCTTTATTTCCTATAAGGCTATAATGATTTAAAAAACATTGAATGTTTAGTTTAGTAAGACTCTTCCAACATCTTACCAGGAAGATAAGAGACGGGTATCCGATCAGAGCAATAGCTGTGGAAAGCTTGCGCTTGTTTCCTCCGCTGTAAGTGCCGGCGGGTTTGTCTGCATACTTTGAGAGCTCCAGCTTTTCTAAAGCCCACTGCACAACCTGTGGGGTAGAGAGACACAGGGGGAGGAGAACAAGGGTTAAAAACCTCTGATTGCAGATGTAAAAACCTGAAACAAAATGACCCAGCTGAGACTCAAACCCAGATCAGGGCTCTGGTTTTTGCTACTCATGTTTAGAAGAACATGCTTTTGTTAAAATGAAGATGAAAGCTCATCTCTTCCAGTTTTAGGAAATTGGCATCTTTTGGCTAGCTCCTACTACTGTAAAATAAAGGTGTATGTTCATACTGACCCTCCCCTGGTCCTTCCAGGGAATCCCACGAAGGCGAGTGTAGAGCTGCAGATGCTCCCTGGCAGTTAGGTCGTCAAACAGAGCATCAAACTGAGGACAGTAGCCGATGCTCTGCTGAACACGTAGCAGGTCCTTCAGGATACTGCAGCACAAACAAAACACCAGATCACACCACAAAATTATTTACATGACTTTAAAAAGTAGCCTAAATTATAGTCATCGCAGGAATCACAGCAACCTTATGATGTCAGAGGCTAGTTCACTCTGGGGAAAGTGATCTTACTCAGAGCATCATGTCAGTTTCCACTGCAGCAAGATATGTTTTATGAACACTTCTTAGTTTTTGCTTCTGAACCCTCCTGTGGTTCCCCACAGACCATGCAAAGCAATTCTATGTACAATTTGGAGGCGTATCCGCCTCTCACAAATTGGAGGCTGTATTTTATTCAAAAGACTAAGGGGAATTGAAAAGGACTGGACTGGAGGGTTGTCGGTCCAAGACCCGGCTCCGGTTTTTCGTTGTGTCCTTGGGAAAGACACTTCACCCGCAATGCCTACTGCTGCTGGCCAGAGACTCTGTCAGTGAGCCCCAGGATGGCTGTGGCTACGATGTAGTTTGCATCATCCGTGTGAGAGTGAATGGGTGAATGTGGTGTCAGGGCTCGATGTTAACCATCGCCCGATCTCCCGGGGCAAGTAGTTTTTATTGT